TGAAACCAAGTGTCGCCGGAATTACGAGCTTTATAGTCGGTTGTCATCTCTCATCATTAAAAAAATAAGAACCGATTTAAAAAAATACCTCTAATAGGATCACACATTCGCTTCTTTTTAAGCGATTATAGAAATAAGCGATCTTCCAACTTTTCGATACCAWTTTTTTATTTYTTTCATTTGAAAACATACCTTACTCCCTGAGTTACTTCTTGATAGACTTCTTTTCCGCGGAATATAGTGGTTCTCCATTTTTTGAGATATTCGATGAAAATGATTCCAATCACACGAAATTATTGAAGTCATGAAGCTAACTGATCCTCAATCCTCTCTTTCATGTCATTTTTATTTTTTTTTTTTCAAAAGACCAAAAACTTACGATCCATATGTCCAACGAATTGTGAAATATGAAACACGTAACATTTATCAGAAAAAAGCTTACATATGTTTCTACAAGCACACTTAAGGAAAAAGTAGCTTTTCAAGCCCCATACAAATGTCAACTCCGAAATATAATACTAAATAAATATTGTGACGTTTTCAAATTTTAACAGGCCYAAAAGTGTAATATCCACTTCCGTCATCAGCAGCTTAAATGAACGTGTTAATTTTCTTGTGTCTTTCGGATATTTTTTTAAACCTACCCAGTTCCTCTYTGGCGTTCGACGTGAACTGTGAGAMYTCGAATAGCGCAGTTCTAAGCGGTATACAAGAGGATTATGTGAATGCTACTGTATCGAAGGAAGCTGAAAGTGATGTTTTCAGTGGCGCTAAAGAGCCGAGCTTCTTTCCGGGCCTAATGCCAGAGGTTGTACGTTATGCAAAGCATCGGTGCAGCCACGATCTGCCAAATGCGAATGTCAATTGGGGAGTGCAAATTTTCAGTAACGAAGCGGAGGCACACGACACACATTGTTATGTAAAATGTTTTCTGCGTCGCGTAGGACTCATACAGTTGCACACTTTGGGTTGGGATGTAAGTATGTAAGGCGACTCTTGGCTTGGTAACTCATTTAATAATTCCAACTAATCTTCGCACCATTGTAGACTGACCGTTTGCTTGCGATGTTAGCGAATTTACGTGGACATCAAAACCTGCCCACGAATTGCTTAGATTCATTATGCAAGACAGGTAYAATGAATGGGAAATGTGAGCCATATTACGAAATGTGGATGAAGATCCGTCAAGATTGTCAATTCGGTTTCAATGCCTTCTTTTATTATGACGTGCGATTGGAGGAGTTGCCATTTGAAGAAGTAGGCCATGAGTTACCTTAATTATTTAAGTGTATAAGTTTCTCTTTTTCTATGACTACATAGCCCTTACCTCTATATCGGGAACCTGGTGTTGAACCATACCGATTTTGTTCCGCTGTGTTAAAGGAAGATTCTGTGGACATGAAATCACCACAGTTTTCGCTTTGTATATATTCACAGTTACACTATATTGACAGTTATGGACGAATTGATGTAAGTTTTTCCGTTTTATAAAATACAAATATACAGAGTATATATGATATTAGATCAGAATTGGCGAAGAACAATTTTACAACAGCACATAAAAGAAATATATTGATCACATGACCCAGCGACGTTATAATTTATTTAACCCGACAGAAAAATAAGTTTTCTGGAGATCAATAAAGAAAGCTTCCGTGGCTTCCTCTTTTGGCTAAAATTTATGCCCGACTTGTGACTTTTTCAAATCTRGGTCTGCAGTTCGTAGCCTAATTCGACAAATTTAGTTGGGTCGAGAGCGRGTGGTATTGCCTTTATATTGTTTCTTCACCAAGCACCAAGCAACGGTTCAAGCTTTCGCGCTTCGACTTCGAGTCGCATTAGGCCCTTCATATGTAGATCACATAAATCCCATAAAATAGTGGCCCTCACCTTTTCGGCCGATCTTTCACCTATTTGGGAGTGCTTTCACCTGCTGTCAGTCCACTGAGTCGACTACTTCTTGGTCTCTGTTGTGTTTCATTGGATCCAATTTTTCTCGCCGGGCGTGACTTTACGTTTAAACTTCTTTGGAATGCGATTAAATTCGACAAATTTAGTTCGGTCGAGAATGGGTGGCATTGCCTTTGTATTATTTCTCCACCAAGTTGGATCGTTGCTTTTGCAATTCGACCTCGACTCAAATTGGGCCTTAGAGCCCTCCATATCCATCCCATAAAATGGCGTCTCTCACCTTTTTGGGCGATAATTTGCTTTCTTGAAGCATTTCAACAGGGTGGAAGTCCACTGAGTCGACTACTAATTGGTCTCTGTTATGTATCAGTGGATTCCGCTTTTCTCGACGGCGAGACTTGATGTAGAACTATCTTCGGATTGCGCTTAAATTTAATACTTTTCTGTAAAGAAGTCTAACATGTCTGCTTGTTGTCCGGTGGAAGCAAACRGGACAGCCACGTGGTATTTTGCGATGCTGGCTACCGTCTCATCTATTTCACAAGTCAAGTTAGCGTTCGGAAAATATGACGTTGAATTCCCTGAATATATCAACTCGAGTTGTCGCTCATACAGACAGACGAACGGGCAGACAGATATGCCAGAATCATTTTCTATCATCACTCCGATACGTTTAGTTACAAATAAATCGCTATACACCTCGACKACATGTTAAAGTGTTACGAACCAATAACCGTTAATTGACTAAACTTTATTGTATATTAATAAATGTTGCTAGGGTTTAATAGCTTCTTTCCTTTGCTTTCATTATTTTAGGCGTCGGAAATTATACACAGCTTTACAGGATCGGCTCATTTAACGGCACACAACGAGCGGGTTATAAGGAACTGTGCACATCTTGCTAATTCCCATTTCATCCTGGGTCAAAATAGCGAGGAGATGGCACAACATATGACAACTTGTCTGACAAAGAAAATACCTGACGATTACTCATTTGTGCTCCAATATTGGAATCAAGTAATGCGTGATTATTAAATAAAATTGTAAAATAACGGTTGCCGCTAACAAATAGCCTTCAAAATAAAAGATCACATCTTCTACATATATGGTTCTTGTTATTTGGGCTTTGGCCACTTATGCTTTATTGAGTTTTTGATTGATTCCTTTAACAGCTCAAAATGGATTGTGCTTTATAGGCGTTATTTATGAGCAAACAACAATAAATTTAACATTGAAAGTTTCGGTTTTTGCTTACAGGGTGCGACATTGTGTCGACTGTTAGTTATGTGGCATGCCTCAATCACTTATTCGTCAGCTTTGCTTCTTTTATTGGATATATAATAATAACGTACATTATCGTTAATGTTGTTTCTTTTTGACAGTTTTTTTTTTTTTTTTTTTATTGCTCCGAAATGGACTTCAGCGCCTCGCTGATGTGCTCCACTAAGGGCGAATGCTCGCCTAGTGTAGGATGACGATAGCTTTCAAGGAAGTAGCATGTCTTGTCACCGCTTGTATTCGGAAACTCTTTGGGCAAGCAGGAAGGATCTCGTGCTTTTAAGTCAAACTCGAAACCAGGATATTTGACCAGCCAGCTACGAGTATAAAGTAGAAAGCTTTTAGGTATTTCTTATAAGTGGTTTTTTATAAATTGAAACTTACTCCTTCGTTGTTGGGCTGACGTTTATTTTGCAAGCCTCGCTGCCGGACTCAAACTTATTGGCTATGGTGACATTGTGCCCGAAAAGGCAATAACGCGGCATTTTGCGACCAACGACTCCAGCCAATACGGTGCCGGTGTGCAGACCAATGCGCATTTGGATTTCTTGATCTGAAAATACAAACTTTATAAATACTAATGTATAGATGGAACCATTCTTTCGGACGAAAACTCAATACAAAAACAGAGGTTACGATTTATTCTTAAATGAAATTTTTGGGTCTCTTAATTTTTCTTATTAAATTTTTAGCAAAAGAAGACCAACACCTGAGTAAGTTGCCGTTAAGATCCATATACATACATAAGTACTTATATTGGCATTGACTGTTCAATTCTTTAAAGACAATGCCGAGAAATGAATACAAATGCTGTCATGAATCACCGGATAAGGTCAAAGAAGATGAGTAAATCGAAAATCATCGAAGGCGTTGAATACTCTCAGAARCCCCGACCTCTACACTACTTTCTAAACTGAACTGGCTGCGAACAGATGAATGTATACTAATCTGCATTTGCAAAAAGAAATTGAAGAACTAGGCTTTCGAGTGAATTTCATCGATTAGAAGTTAAGTTATTGCGTTTTAAGTGTCAGTATGTTTGTGCTATCGGTGCGAAAATGAGCTTAGAACAAAGAGCCAACATTAAATTTTGTTTTCGAATTGGTAACACTTTTCCCGAAACGTTTCATTTGATGAAACAAGTTTCTGGGATGAATGAATATCCCGTAGCATAGTGCACGAGTGGTTTCAATGTTTTCAAAGTGGTCGTGAGGACATAAATGACAATCAATATGTGGGCCAATCAAAATTCATGATCGCCGGAAATTCCATCGAAATTGTGCGTGAATTCATCAAAAATCCAGCCGAAATCATCATTGAAATTCATGGTCCCGAAATGAAACACCAGAGTGCTGAATAGAAGGCACGAACGAGCCAAATCCCAAAAATCACGCATGGAGAAGTCAAAAGTGAAGACAATGCTGATTTGTTCTTATGATTTCAAGGGCATTGTCCACAAAGAATTTGTTCCACCGGGCCAAAACGTTAATGCAGTATTTTACCTTGGAGTTTTGAAGCGTTTGGTGCGCTGTATTCGTCGTGTTCGGCCGGATTTTGCGAAGATGAAAGCTGGTTTGTTGCACGATAATGCTCCGTCTCATCGATTGACGCTTGTGACCGATTATTTGAGCAAAAATCACATTTTAACCATTAACCACTCCCCGCATTCACCTGATATTGCACCGTGCGATTTCTTCCTTTTCGGAAAAATGCATTTGCTCATGGAAGGAAAGCGTTATGCAGACGTAGATGCAATTCAAAAGGCTTGCACCAGCATGCCGGCGGCCATACCGGCCAACGAGCTAAAACACTCGTTCGACACGTTTTGGACCGTGCAAAATGCTGTATTGAAGCAGAAGGAGACTATTTTGAATAAAATAAATTGATTTTGTCGAAAAATCCATTTGTTCTATATTTTTTTTTAAAGTCCTGTTTACTTTGGAACGCTCCTTGTATAAGTGTCAAATAAAATTGAAATGCTTTTATTTACAATGACCATTTTACCCCTTTTCGCAGTATCGAAACTTCAACTTGATTATAAGGAAAAATACATGGAATTTAACCTTGATAGAAAGCTTTCAGAGATCCAAATATTGCAGAGGGAGGCGTTTTGGCTTAGCAAAACCATAGTCAAACCAATAATATTCTATGCTGTATTTGTCTGATGAATGGCGGTCGAAAAAGCTACGCTATATAAGAATATTGGACGTCTCTCCATCATTACCAACAATGGCACTTAATACCATTCTACACTTGACAACCGTGGATATTTCCGGCAGGTGCATTCCTCCGAAGACCGTTCAAAGGCTCAGAGAAGATGTAATGATATGAAAGATTCTAAACAAAGTTCCCTTCAATTTTATCACTGAACATTTGGACCTCTGTGTTATAGACGTTACTAATGGCTGCTGTTTCTGCACTCACATACCCTCATCTCTGGAGATGAGGCGCAAAGTGCTTTTCCATGGATGGTTCGAAGCTTGGAGGGGAGTCTTTTATAAAGAGCTTCTCTCAAGTTTAGCGTCGCTTTTACTTTTTCATTCAGAAGTAGCAGCTATTAAGGTAGCCGTAGACTTACTACTCCGGAGTGCAGCCTCTTTCAGCGAGGTGAGCATTTACTCTGATAGCAAAGCAACAATATTATTACTGATCTCGTAAACCGTGCGCTCAAAATTTGTAACTTTTGAGTTATTGGAATCACACGCTATAGGCGTAAAACTAAGCTCTGAAAATACCTAAAAAGTCCGAACGGCTACAGAGATGAAAATTTGTGTCATTAAAAATAATAAAAAGCAAACCACATATGTAATAATTATTTTTTACTCACCATCATGGGTTATGTGCTTGGCACAAGCTACGATCATCTTCAATGCCATCCATGCTACCTTGTGAGCATCATAAATCGAAGCTCGGTGCAAACCACTAGCCACACAATAAGCATCGCCAATTGTCTCGACTTTATAGACGTCGAAGAGATCACAGAACTCGTCGAAATCTTTATACAAGCTCTCGAGCATGCTGATGACCATGAAGGGTGTAGCACGCGAACAAATACTGGTAAAACCCACTATATCACTAAACAGTATTGTTACATCCGGATAGGTTTTGGCATCGATACTGGCACCCAACCATAAGCGTTCGGCTATTTCAGCTGGAAATATTAGATGCAATAAACTGACATTCTTTTTACGCTCTTTAGCCACGGCGGCATTGGCCTCTTCGATTGAGCTTTTCAATTTGTCCATGCGACGACGCAAACCATCCTGAGCACGTGCTTGTTCGCCGACCAAAATAACTTCGCGTGTGGCATCGTGCAATGGAATATCCGATATGAAAAGTCCATTACAAGTGAGACCATCCAAACCATCGAGAAATGGTGAGCCCATGAAGAGTAACGAATTGGATTCAGGGCAATGTACCATTTGTCCTTTGATTTCCAGTCCCTAGAGTAGTGAAATAAAATTTGATAAATTAAAGCTCAATTCTTAATTCAGAGAGGAGACAATAGAATGAGGAAAAACTAGTATCGGTGGTAAAGAAAAACTTGTATCAATTCACGTTTATTCTCGTTGAAATTATAAATAGAAATATTGGTATTTTTGAATTAATAGCATTTTATATTCGGTGCAATGGATTCACCCCACTTGTAATGACAAACCTTAGGGAAGGTATGCACGGGTCCAGAGCTTCCTTTTCTTCTCACTTAATGACATTGCGGTTGACAGCTTCACAAGCGACCGAACGTTTTTATTGAAGAACCCCTCGGGTTTTAATCACGTATTCATTGCTTTCGAGTTCTTTGTGAAAGTGTAAATTTCCAAATGGTTTGTTAACTCACCTTCGCTGGAAACTCACTGATGTTTGGTGGACTCTTCAAAGCAATCAAAAATGGTGTGTATGTACGACGAGCAATATCGCGAAATTTCATGGTCAAACCTTTGGGGCGTTTAAAGTCAAAGTAAGTGGTCGCCTGGCAACCGTGTTCGGCTATATGTGGCTTGTAGAGTTTGCTAAAACCGCGTCCTAGAAATAGCAAAGCACGTATATATTTATATTTCATAGCTACAAGCGAAACCTTACCCATTTGCAGCAATTCCAGTTTCTCATTCATAATGAAATGCCAAGGGAATGCCTTGCAAAAGGTGTGCGAATTCATCGCCAAATCGGCAGCTTTGCTCGAGTTATTCCGCTGCGCTGGCAAAGCTGTTGGTTTAACCATCTCGACACTACTGCGTTGCAAAGGCACCGCTGAACCAGTGTACTCCTTAACCAACGAAAATAAATAGCGATAGCGACGCGAATCGCCTTCGACCGGTTCTATTTTAATATTGACCTGCACATTGTACAGCATTCGGGTTAGAGCCTTCAATGAGCCGAGTAGCAGCCAAGCGATTACAGGACGTTCAGAGGTGAATATTAGCTCACCATCGCCTGCGCACACGAAACCGGTGTCGGTGACGTCCTCCTGAAAGAATTATGTGGGTAATTAATAAATTAATATTTTGCGTGTGCCACAGAGAAAAACCGGTAAGTATATTGATGTTTTACTGATAATAAATGTATTTGGGAAACCAATTTGCAAGTAAGTTCATTTTTTCCAGTGCGGATGTATAGCTGACCTTTGAATTTAACCAACTCTTACTCCATATTTTTTTCTAGTTTCTAGCAGAAAAGATAATTGGGAAGGCTAGGCAAAAAAGTATTTTCTTGGCGTTAACTTCGGAATAAATAATTCACATTTGGTTGGTCCTAGTTCGTGTTTAGAAGAGGATTGTTCAATTTACAA